TATATTGGTATATTGACTATATAATGGTATTAGATACATTTATCTAACTGCCCAAACGGTTCCCCCACTCTCCACTGCCAGCCTTTAAAACTCCCTTCACCACTTCCTACGTCGTGGGGCCTGTTTCCTTCTCTTCTCTTAGCATTTTAGGATTGAAGATACATTAATCTAACTGCCACAGACGGTTCTCACATTATGCTCATACTTTACTACTTCCTAAGCTACTTCCTACATCTAGGACCTGTTTTCATCATTTTCCATAGCATTTTAGTATTTTAGATACGTTAATATAATTGCCACAAACATTGCCCACACTTCACACCGCTAGCCTTTACTACTTCTTTCACCATTTTCTATGTCGTGGGCATGCTTCCATCCCTTCTCATAGCATTTCAGCATTGCAGATACATTAATCTAACTGCTACAAAGGGTTCCCAGTTCCCACACTCCACACTGCTTACCTTACTACTTCCTTCACCTCTTCTTACGTCGCGGGCCTGATTCTCTCTATTCCCATAGAATTTTAAGATTGTAGATACCTTAGTCTAATCGTCATAAACAGTTCCCACACTCCGAAAAGCTAGCCTTGACTACTTCCTTCACCACTTCCTACGTCTCGGACCTGTTTCCCTCCCTACCCTTAGCATTATTGGATTGCAAATACCTTAATCTATTGGTTATAAACATATCCCACACTCTGAACAACATTTCCTTTACTACTTCCTTCGCAACTTCCTACGTCACCGACCTGATTCCCCCCCTTTCCATAGCATTTTATGATTGCATATACCTTAATCTAATCGTCATAAACAGTTCCATCACTCCGGACAGCTCGCATTTACTGCTTCCTTCACCACCTCCTACGTCACGGGCCTGTTTCCCTCCCTTTCCATAGCATTTTAGGATTGCAGATACCTTAATTTAATCGTCATAAACAGTTCCCAAACTCCGGACAACTCACCTTCACTACTTCCTTCACCACTTCCTACATCACGGACCCGTTTCCCTCCCTTTCCATAACATTTTAGGATTACAGATACCTTAAACTAGTCGTCATAAACAGTTGCCACACTCCGAAAAACTCGCCTTTACTACTTCCTTCGTCACTTCCTACGTCACAGACCTGTTTACCTCCCTTCCCATAGCATTTTAGGTTGTTAGATACCTTAATCTAATTGTTATAAACAGTTTCCACACTCCGGACAGCTCGCCTTGACTACTTCCTTCACCACTTCATACGTCGCGGACCCCTTTTCCTCCATTCCCATAGAATTTTAGGAATGCCTTTAATATTACCTTTATCTAATCGTCATAAACAGTTTCCACACTCCGGACAGCTCGCCTAGACTACTTCCTTCGCCACTTCATACGTCGCGGACCTGTTTTCCTCCCATCCCATAGCATTTTAGGTTTGTAGATACCTTAATCTAATCGTCATAAACAGTTTCCACACTCCGGACAGCTCGCCTTCAGTACTTCATTCATCACTTCCTACGTCGCGGACCTGTTTTCCACCCTTCCCATAGCATTTTAGGATTGCAAATACCTTTATCTAATCGTCATAAACAGTTTCCACACTCCGGACAGCTCGCCTAGACTACTTCCTTCACCACTTCATACGTCGCGGACCTGTTTTCCTCCCATCCCATAGCATTTTAGGTTTGTAGATACCTTAATCTATTGGTCATAAACAGATCCAACACTCCAGACAACTCGCCTTTACTACTTCCTTCACCACTTCCTTCGTCAAGGACCTGTTTTCCTCCCTTCCCATAGCATTTTAGGTTTGTAGATACCTTAATCTAATCGTCATAAACAGTTTCCACACTCCGGACAGCTTGCCTTGACTACTTCCTTCACCACTTCCTACGTCGCGGACCCCTTTTCCTCCCTTCCCATAGCATTTTAGGTTTGTAGATACCTTAATCTAATGGTCATAAACAGATTCCATACCCCGAACAGCTCGCCTTTACTACTTCCTTCACCAATTCCTACGTCTCGGACCCCTTTTCCTCCCTTCCCATAGAATTTTAGGAATGCCTTTAATATTACTTTTATCTAATCGTTATAAACAGTCCCCACACTCTGGACAGCTCGCCTTGACTACTTCCTTTACCACTTCCTACGTCACGGACCAGTTTCCCTCCCTTCCTATAAAATTTTAGGAATGCAGATACCTAAATCTAATCGTTATAAACAGTTTCCACACTCCAGACTGCTCTCCTTTACTACTTTCTTCACCACTTCCTACGTCACGGACCTCAAGCTAGTGTCGTAATTTGATTATATTTATGATCCAGTACCTGGGGACCGAGCTTTGCTCGGGGAAAATTATTAGTTTACTCTGAAAAGTATTGCAGATACATTAATCCACTCCCAATCTCCACACTTCTCACCTTCACTACTTACTTCACCACTCCCTACGTCGTGGACCTGTTTGCCCTCCTTCCCTATACCATTTTAGTATTGCAGATACATAAATGCCACAGACAGTTCCCACACTCTGCACTGCTAGCATTACTACTTCCTTCACCACTTCCTACGTCGCGGACCTGTTTCCCTCCATTCCCATAGCATTTTAGGATAGTAGATACCTTAATCTAATCGTCATAAACATTTCCCACACTCCGGACTGCTCACCTTTACTACTTCCTTCACCACTTCCTACGTTGTGAACCTGTTTCCCTCCCTTCCCATAGCATTTTAGGATTGCAGATTCCTTAATCTAATTGTCATAAACAGTTTTCACACTCCAGACTGCTCGCCTTTACTACTTCCTTCACCACTTCCTACGTCGCGGACCTGTTTCTCTCCATTCCCATAGCATTTTAGGATTGTAGATTCCTTAATCTAATCGTCATAAACAGTTTTCACACTCCAGACTGCTCGCCTTTACTACTTCCTTCACCACTTCCTACATCGCAAACCTCTTTCCATCCCTTCCCATAGGATTTTAGGATTGCAGATTCCTTATTCTAATCGTCATAAACAGTTTCCACACTCCAGACTGCTCGCCTTTACTACTTCCTTCACCACTTCCTACGTCGCGGACCTGATTCCCTTCCTTTCCATAGCATTTTACGATTGTAGATAACTTGATCTAATCGTTATTAACAGTTCCCACACTCCGGACTGCTCACCTTTACTACTTCCTTCATTCGTTGTGAACCTGTTTCCCTCCCTTCCCATAGCATTTTAGGATCGCAGATTCCTTAATCTAATTGTCATAAACAGTTTTCACACTCCAGACTGCTCGCCTTTACTACTTCCTTCACCACTTCCTACGTCGCAAACCTCTTTCCATCCCTTCCCATAGGATTTTAGGATTGCAGATTCCTTATTCTAATCGTCATAAACAGTTTCCACACTCCAGACTGCTCACCTTTACTACTTCCTTCACCACTTCCTACGTCGCGGACCTGATTCCCTTCCTTTCCATAGCATTTTAGGATTGTAGATAACTTGATCTAATCGTTATTAACAGTTTTCACACTCCAGACTGCTCGCCTTTACTACTTCCTTCACCACTTCCTACGTCGCGGACCTGATTCCCTTCCTTTCCATAGCATTTTAGGATTGTAGATAACTTGATCTAATCGTTATTAACAGTTCCCACACTCCGGACTGCTCACCTTTACTACTTCCTTCACCACTTCCTTCGTTGTGAACCTGTTTCCCTCCCTTCCCATAGCATTTTAGGATTGCAGATTCCTTAATCTAATCGTCATAAACAGTTTCCACACTCCAGACTGCTTGCCTTTACTACTTCCTTCCCCATTTCCTACGTCATGGACCTGTTTTCCTCCCTTCCCATTACATTTTAGGATTGCAGATACCTTAATTTAATCGTCATAAACAGATCCCACACTCCAGACTGCTCGCCTTTACTACTTCCTTCACCTCTTCCTATGTAAGGACCTGTTTTCCTCCCTTTCCATGGCATTTAAGGATTGCAGATACCGTAATCTAATCGTCATAAACAGATCCCACACTCCACACTGCTACCCGACTATAGAATCAAGTAATCTTTAGTATAATCTTTGCTCAATAGTAACAACTGATGTTTTTCCTTTTGTACTGTATTTTGTTTTGCTAGTATACTGTGGATAGACAAATTACAAGTCTTTTGTTTACTTTTCCTTGTTATTTAATTCAGCCAATATGGTTACCTAGCAACCCATAAGACTAATGTTAAAAAAATGTGATTTTCAGTTTCATTTTTCTACGTAATTAGATTTTTGTTGGCAGTTCTAATTGCAGTAAACTCGTTTTTAGGCCAGAAATAAACTATATACAACATTTGAAGAAAATCGTCGGAGCCGTTTTCGAGATCTTGGTGCAAGCATACATACATACATATATACATACATACATACATACATACAAGCAAACTTTGCTCGTATTAGAGTATAGGATACCGTTTCTGTTCTAATATCTTTGGATTAATGCTATCAGCTATTTCCTTATCTACTGCATTCAAAAGTCATCAGCTGATCATATGTTTTTGTTTATGTGTCAAATACTGCTTCCATTAAGGATTACATTGAAACTTTGAGACCCAGTGGGGCGGATTCCTGAGAGACTTTTTTAACGCCATATAGATGTTGGCACTCACCGTTATGGTCTCTATCACCATGCAAAATTTGAAAATGATTGATTCATCCGTCTAGGAGGAGTTTGCGTATTACGAAATGCATAAGAGTCGACGTATAAGAGCTTCGCTCGCTTCGCTCGCTCCGCTCAAAAATACCACAGCCACAGCAATAATCTCCCCATTTTGGTTAAATAAATGACTTATTGACTTATTGACTTAATCAGTCACATTTACATTTTCATAAACATCAGTTAAGTGGTTATTATGATATATGATCAAAGGATCAAACAGTTATGCTCAAGCCTGCTAAGTGAAAAAAATAAAGGCATTGGCATCGGCATGGCAAGATTGGCAAGGCAATGGTGAATCGGTAAATCGAATGGTTTTGTTTTGTTGGTAATGGTGCTACTGGTGTGGTAAAGTTTGTCAGCGTTTGTCATCTCAGCAATTTTTAATTGTAAATTGTGAAATTAGTTTTAATTTAGTGACAATGGCTGTTCTAGCAGCAGCTCAGCTTTTAGACGAATTAATGGGGCGTAATAGAAATGTGGCTCCAAGTGAAAAGGCTAAAGAACTGAACTGGGAAGATCCCGACGTAAGTTGTTCATTATGGCGGAAGATGTCGCCCAGTTTTTGTAACCGAATTTATGCTAGCTTTCATTAAGTTATATTAGATTAGCGAATCAACAAATAGGTTTTTTAACTTACTCAACATCGTGTGTATTTTTATAATTATAGGAAACCTAGGGTATAGCCTATTAGGCATATTTTAACATTGAAAATCAATCCCCTGTAGGCATGGGCAAGGATAGGCTAGGCCTAGGTCTACTAAAAATCATGAGCGGTGATAGGCTTAGAAACTATGCCTAGGCCTAATTGAGGTAGGTAGGCCAATTAGGTACCTACCTACATTTGATCAGTTTTCTATTGGACTAGGCCTTAGGTAGAGAAAGGCCAAATTAAGGACGATGGGTTCTCTGGAGCAAAATTCCAAATGAAAAGTCAATTTCTGTTAAGTGGTAACAGTATTGTAGTCATAATTCTCTTCGCCTTTTTTGTAGGCCTAGGCCTAGCCTATTTCTCTACATCTAGCCTAATGTCCACCTCTCAGACAAGTTCAGGCTCCATTGTTCACAAAACTCAACTTAGAACACTTGAATGTTTAACGAAATACAGCGTCGATGTGTCTTGTGTCTACATGGACACAAGTTGAAGTTGGACAACCGTGATGAAACTCTGTGTCAAGCACAGTGGACTTCTTCATTGACAGCTTCAAACAAGCTTGAAGAAAGTTCCTCACTGTCCTTGGCGAGCAACGAAATCTCACTACTTAATCAAGCTTTTGTCGATGTATTGTCTCACCATCTTCATTTTTGTTGTTATTCAGTCTCATGCTAACTTATTTTTCACTTTTTGCGTTACATAATATTTATTTAAACATAATTTATTGTTAGGCTTATTGTTATTTATTGTTGATTTTTCTTTTGGTCTATTGATTGTCACAACACACAAATAACATGTTATAAGTTGGATATATATGTTTGTTGATTATTTTTTAATGGCTCTGCCGTTGGTATGTATAAATAAATATATGCTAGTTGGCTGTTTGCTGAGACTTCACACAGTAGGTACTAACTTACAATCTACAGCTAACTTAAGTTAAGTTAGTGAAGCCACCTAACTTAAGACAGAAAAATTTAGTTAACTTAGCGCAAAAATAAGGTGGGTTCCATTTCCACGTTACGTTTCAATCTGTGGCACACCATAAGTTACTTATTAACCACGCAGACGACTGTTACTAGTGGTAGCCAAACTTTGTTTGATCGCACAGTTTATATTATAAATTTATTTAGGCTAACTTAACTTTATAGCCTATATTTATTCATAGGCCCTTTAATTTGATTTTATATATTTTTAGCACAAGTCTTTGACATTACCTAGGCTATTGCAATTAATAACTGAATGGTATAATAAGTTAAAAGCTTTTGAATCTTTTGAGCCTAATATTTTTGTCTAAATAACTTTTAAGTTTAGGCCTAATATCAGCGCTCCATTTGTATCCAATTTAAATGCATTTTGAGATATTAACAGAAGGGAGTATGGATCCTAAAGGAAAAAAATTGTGCGTAAACTGAAACTGTTCTAATGTAAATAAACAATCTTAACATAGGCTATAGGCCTATGGTGCTATGGTGCTACTGTTTATATTTTATGATTTTGCTGTAAGATAATTTTTTCCCATTTTTATAAGTTGTGTGGCTAGTGATGTCATTTTTTTAATCATCTTTGCTGTTTTACCCACTTTTTCGATACGGTAGCGTGTTTAGCCTAATATTTATGACATGAAAAAATAATAACATATAACTTACTCGTATTCAGCATAAAATTCCGCACAGTTTAAATAGGTAGGCCTACCTTTAATTTGTGTTTTTAAATTAAATAACTTATTTGAACAGCTTTTCCAATTCTTCGTGTTTATTTGACTTTTCCAGGAAAAGGATAGTCATTTTTGAATTTTGGACATTGTAGGCTATTTAAGTTAGCATCATAATAGTGTACTTACCATAACAAATAGGTACTATTTTAGCATGACGTCTGATCGATATAATTACCTCATCTTTTTATTAGGCCTATGCAAACTAAATGTTTTTCTATATTGTTAAATAACTCTGTAGCTAATTTAATAGGCCTCTGAAAAGTGCTTTTGTATCTGAATTCCACCAACCCAAAAGATTAAAAAATGTAGGCTACACTGAGCTACGTTGCTGTATACCCGCTCTGACCGTTATTGGTGTATCGGGGAATGTTTTCGATGTTAGCCATTTCCGCTCCAGGGTGCTTCAAACCTGGCTATATGCCACTGCAGTAAGCCCAATCGTACATACCCACCTCTATTGGTAATGGTAACTATTTGATCATTTCTATGTTAGCCTATTCAATTCAGAATTTATGCAGTCTATTCATTAAACTGTTTAAGATATCCTTTATCATATTTTGATGTTTAAGAGCTTAAATGAAAAAATATATTCTCCTAATTAAGCTTCATGTGCAAACCTTATTTGAATTCAAAACATGATCAATTTGCTTTACAGTACTGCAAATTTTACATGGTGAAGTTCTGTCCTCATGATCTCTTTGTCAACACACGGGCGGATCTCGGCGTTTGCTCCAAGGTACATGACGACGAGGCCAAGGCACTGTTCGATAAGTCAACCTCTTACAAGAAACAATCATACGAAGATGAATTCATTCGCTTCTCTCAGGCTATGCTGAACGAGGTGGAACGCAAAATAGTTAAAGGCAAGCAAAGGCTAGCTCTAATCGGAAATAAATCTGAACCCGTAAGTATAGACTGTTTTAGGAATTGTAGTCTTAAGTTGATCCGTTTCTTTTTTAATTGAATACTGGAATTAACACTTGAGGTGAGCCAATGAAATTTGTATAGCCTAACTTAATTATTACCAATGTCAAAACTAATAAGTTAGTTGGTTTAGTTTAGGCCTATATACAATTTAGTTAGTTGGCAAAGCTAAAAAACTACTGTCTATAGGCCTATTAAGATATTTGTCTTTTAAGTTAAACAAACTTGTTTTACTCAAGTTTTCATGTTTTATGATCATTTAACTGCCTATTTATTCTTAATAACTCTAGGAAAGTTACTTTAAATCCAGGCCTAGGCCCAAAAAAAAGCCAAAAGCCAAAGGAGGACAATATACACCATTTTATGCCTGTTTTTTCCCCTGGGAACCCTAGGAAAGTTTAAATTACTTACAGTACCTACTTTAAATATAGGCCTAGGCTTATACAAAATCAATAAGTCAAACAAAGTTGTGGCTATGCTTGTGTAGGCGTACCTTGTATTTGTTTAACTTATAAATCTTGTGGTCTTTATAAAAATAATGTAGCATAGGTTAATCTTTTTATTCGTTGAAACTAATAAAGCTATATTTTTGTTCTTTAAAACAACTTAGTCAAAATAGACCTATGTCTTGATGGGTTATGGAAACGTGTTGAATTTGAATTTCTCTAGTGTTGTAGCCTAACTAAGTTATTTTTGCATGGTTGATCTTCAAAATGTTTTTGTTGGGTCAAGTAATTAGACATTGGGGGTGATGGTAGACATTTTAGAAGTTACTGAGCCAACACGGCTCATATTACTAATCATTGTAGATAGGCTTTTATCTAATAAAGAAGCTAAATGATTGGTCTGGCCAATTCCTTGTTTACATTCGAACTACTCAGCTGCTAAAAATCATCACAATAACCCTTTAAAAATGATTCAAATTCCAACTAAGGCCAGAGCTAAAGCAGAGTTATAGTTTTGCTGTGATCGTCTTTTGTCCTTAATAATGAATTGAGAGAGTTCTGAGAATGATTTATTTTTCTATTGAACAGACACAAAAATAACTCTTGAATGAAATGCAATTCAATACTTAGAAAGTACATAGCCCATTTGGCTTAAATCTCAGAAACTAAATGTGTTTACCCTATGGATTAAAAATAATTTGTGTTTTAATAGTCATTGTGGAAGTTATTTTTTATTTTTGTATTGAACAAATTCAAAATTTGTTCCTGTTTCTTTAATTCACTATCATTTAACACCAGCTCAAGAAAAATCTTAATTTTGTCCTCTAAGCTATGTCACTCAATAACCATGTGTCGAGATATATTTTTTCATAAGTTGGTGCTGTTGCAGCCGTCGTCGCTCTCGCCGCAGCAAACACAGCGCAACCAGGAACAGATCGCGTTGTTGTCAAACAAGATTAACTCACTGGTGAGCGAGGCAGAGGCAGCCGGCATCGAGGGCAATGTGGAGCAAGCACAAGGCCTGATGAAGCTGTGCGACCAGCTGAAAGAGGAGAGGGAAGCTTTGCGAAAGCAGAATGACAACAGCCACTGGTCACAGGTACAGAATCGAAACATTATTTGGAACAAATTAAAACTAGGTGTAATTATGGTTAGCTCATTAAGGAAATAAATATTGGGTCTACATGGTACAATATTATTGGTACCAGTACTCATGACAAATTATCAACTATTTCAGATAAAGTAAAAATACTAACATCTTAATTTACCAAACAGTACTAGACATGTTTGCTATCTGAACTTGTACATACTGTGTGAGTACCTATGTTAGTGTAATAATATCAGGAGGTTACTTGAATCACCAGAAGCTTTTTACCAGAGAGCCTAATGTAGTTAATTGAAAATCAATTATATCTACAATTTGAGCATGAAGTGCAAGGGTGTCCAGGTAAAATCAATTTAAAGAATGCAAATGTAATTGATTTTAAACTACTTATCTTCACATTAAAACTGCAATCTTATAGTATCAGTTCGTTTGATGTTGACTGATTCTATTCGGCCACTACTGTAGAAAGAAGGGATAGGTTAGGCTACATTTGTTTGAACTACTAGTTATTTGACTACATGACAAAGATCATGTAATCTATCCTTCTGCGTAGACAGCAGAAATGGCCGAGGCCCAACAGAAGCTGATGGAAGTGTGCGAGGTGTGTGGGGCATTCCTGATTGTTGGCGACAGTCAGTCTCGCATCGAAGACCACATGATGGGCAAGGTACACATGGGGTACAGCAAGCTACGGCGCACTGTGGATGAGATCATGGTTAGTGAGTGTTCTGTGTGAATCGTGTAAACTTAATGTTCTGTACAGACGGCCGAGATCGCAGCCGCACAAGAGAAACAGATGGAGGTGTGCGAGGTTTGCGGAGCATTCTTGATCGTCGGTGACGCTCAGTCAAGGATAGATGATCACCTGATGGGCAAACAACACGTCGGATTTGCTAGATTGCGAATGGCGTTGGAGGAAATTATGGTTAGTGGTAGCGGATTAATAAATGGTAGGCGGGTGGTAGTAGATGTAACGGTATGGTGAAGTTGATGGATTGAAATATTAATTTTGTTAGTAATTAGTATAGGTATACATTTATTTTCACTTAATATTTGACAATTATTTCAGAATTCTACTTACATAAACACTAGAAATGGTGGTTTGTATTTCACATGATCTTAAACCTACAGAGTATGTACCCTGTTACTCGTGTTAGTTAGTTTTTATCTCATAATTTTTGTGGTTTTCTTATTTCAATAAGCTTGGTTAATTTATTAGAATCATAGACTAATGTGGACAGTATGTTGCATGAACAGGAAAGTTTATATCAAATAAATCCAAAGGTTTAGCGTACAATAGAGAAAGTATCTGATTCATTTGATGCCCATGGAAGTAGCTGTGGCAGATGACGCAATCTTCTTGGCTTGTAGTAATAGGGAATGGAGGCAAATTTGAATGTTTTTGAGTTAACTGCCACACACCTAGGGATCTTTTTAAACTTGTATATTGTTATTGATCATAGAAAATATGAAGCATCATCCAATCAATGGTTATATAATAGCAGTGTTTTATCGTCACTTTGGAGGTTTTTTTTTACTTTGGGTCTTGGGGGTTATTCCTTGCTGCAAAGCACAGGTAAAAGATTTTAATTTGAAAAATGTTGGAGAAAAAAAATTTAATCTAATACATTAAAATCAACTCGTATAAAAGCAAACACAACAGAAGATGTTATTGGTACGTTAGCAAGATATTTAAAACCTTAACTCTTAATGTTTAAATTAATTTTTTCAACAGAGTGAAAGAGCAAAACAACGAGATGAAAAGGAAAGGAGGAGAGATGAAGAGAGAAGAGAACGTCATAAGATGCGAGAAGAGGAAGAGAAAAAGAAAGAGAAAGATAGGGAAGAAAGAAGAAAGAAAAGGGAGGAAGAAGATCGAAGTAAAAAGCACAGGTTTGTACAAGTTTTTTGTTGTTGTTTGCAAAACGCATTAAAAAAGGAAACAAATTAAAAAATGCCACACAAAACGATAAGGAATGAGAAAGGTAATGGATCTTAGAACCAGGAATGTTTACATTTAATAATTTTAATTGTTGTATTTTTGCGTGTTGCGGCCATATGGATTGTGTAATCTATTCTCTCTCTCTCTCTGTCACAATGATCAGCTGGCCTGCTAATGAATACTGAACAATAAGGTTGTTAACATTATTTTATTTGACGCTGAATGTTTGTGTAGCTCCAGGGATCACGCAAACCACAGAGACCGCGACTGGGACAGAGATGGACATGGACGCCACAGAGATGACCGTGGTAGCTCGTAAGTAACAGATCTAACCTAACCTTTGTTTATTACTGACTCTTACTCCCAGGGCCATTTATTTCAGAGGTGATATTTGGCCGTTTTGTTTTACTACAGCAATTAAATTAAAAAATACCCCTGCACAGCAAACCTGCAGACCTAGTGAACAGTCCTGATTTGATTCTCCTATTTAAATAGCATTAGGTTTAACAAGTACCTAGGTTTGCTGCTACAGCGGTTTGGTGTAATACAGTGTTTTTTATTGGTATAAAATAAAGTAGTTGGTTAGGTGTAATCAATATACATATCCATAAATAAGCAAACTACAAATGTTTACTTATCCATAAGAATAACATAGGAATTTTTAATTTAAAAACTTGTGTATTTTCTACATAACTGGTAACCGCACAAAAACATGGTCACTAAAACTGTTGTCTTTTGCAGAAGATTATCCTCTAAACAGAGGAGTCATTCCCGGGACCGCCACCAGAGGGACAAAGAAAGAGATAGATCGAGACACGAGGACCGACGCAAAGGTGAGTCACTACAGGGTTAGGCCTGCCAACAATCATCTCATTGGCTTCTCAGTGTAGTACTTGCCAGTTGAATAATATTTAAAAAAAGTAAAAATTGATGTGATTCAGTTATGTACAATTTACTTCATCACACATCAGTAAATTTTACTTTAATGCATGTATTTGTAAAGTGATTTTTAGGGAAGGCCAGGGTTATATACTGTAATTTTGGTGTGGGACTGATTCACAGGACGAGATTTTTCTTTCTGTAAAACAAGGGAAACTTAAGTTTATTTTTAAAATCTCGAGTGTAAATTTTGCAAATTGTGATAAAGACAAAGAAATGGAATTTCAGTCTTTATTTTGCTATTCTATGTCAATATGACTGTAACATGTCAACATGTGACTGTTGTTACTATTTACTGTGATCACAGAGATATCATCGTCGCCCGCCATAGTGGGCAAATCTTGAGCCTCCTGAGATCACAGAGTCGTCGTCATCACTCGTGTTTTAGGAAAAATCACTAGGTTTCATCAAATCCTGAGATTGCATTTAATCCCACCCAAAGATCGGGAATATATTTTTGCGAAATTTCAGGACCCGTTCAACTCTAATGATTTTCTAATGTTCCAGAAAATGGGGAGAGGGAGCGAGACCGTGACAGGGACCGAGACCGAAGACGTCATTAGAGTCGGGTCAGTGTGGATTTGCTCAGGTAAGTGGCTTGGCTGACGGAGGGGAACACGTTGCAGGAACACTTCTAATACTTGTGTTCTGAACACTCTGGACCTGCAGCGTGTTCAAGTAACAATAAAATACTTTCTTATTTCAGGTGGAACTGTTAGAGGTAAGTGGTGATATTGGACCCTTCGGTGTCGGTATACGAGTCAAACATTTATTTCAGACTCAAAAGAAAATCAGTAGGTAACAATTTCAGCATTTTTGGTAGGAGACGAAAGAGTATTTCTTTTTGAGGGAAGAGGAATGGTTAGAAAACTTTTTATGTAGGGGATTGAAAGTTTTAGTCACGACCTTGTTACAAAATAATTCACATTTAAAAAGGGTAAACCCTAAAGTGTAACAATTTACAATCCTTTTCATTGCAGTGATAAATTCTATAAATTTATAGTTGAAATGTATGTAATTACATCAACAAATAGGCCTACATATGTGCGATCATCAGATTTATATTGATCAATCCTTTGATAACGTGATGGGCAGTATCTCCTTTCTAGAGTTAGAAGGGATGGGATTTAAAACCGTTAAGTGTCTTTGTTTGAAAAAAAGTCAAAATCCAATATGTTTTCTAATCCTAAACAGTAACCCACCAATAACTTTTTCTAATGCCATTTAACATTACTTACATATCCATTGATTTCCAAATTGCAGTGTCTTTAAAAGTCAAAATTCAATATGTTTTCTAATCCTAAACAGTAACCCACCAATATCTTTTTCTAATGCCATTTAACATTACTTACATATCCATTGATTTCCAACTTGCATTGTGTTAAATGTATTAGACTTGGAAACTGCAATTATTCTTGCTCTACATTTTATATATTTATAGACTTTGTCAATCCTGGATGGCAGTGTTGTCTTGTTAGTTATTTTTCTAAATTTACTAAGCACTGAACATGTTACTTATATTAGAGGGACTTAAATGAATTTCATTTATTACAATTTTATTCTTGGACTAGGGTTTATGACATTGGATCTCTCCAAATATTTAAAGTTCATAAAAGGAACTTTATTACACGAAGTCACAATTAATTTAAAAGTGGGTTTTAAATAATTAAAACCTCAACAGTAACATTTTTTTAGGAGAATAAGGTCATGGATTCAGTTCTAAAATAACTTTTATTTTCACTGCCCCTCTTATAATTTGAAAGTATGTTAAACTCAAGCTAAAGTAAGTTTATGATATTTCTCTATAAATTTAATACTTTTTAAGTAAATATATGCCTACTTGTGTTATCAGGTATATCTTTCTGAGACATTATTGCAAATCACAGCAAAAAAAATATGTATTATTTTTAAACATTGAAGTTTCAAAAAAGTAGTGGAGGAATAAGTCCCTTGATATAAAGTGGTAATAATTCTTACAAACCTGGTCCATCAAACATATTCTGCTGCCATCCAGGATCGTTTAGCGTCCATTGCGCAAGATGATTCACATATTATTTGTGTCCTCAAGAAGTCGTGAGATTTGTACTTCTGTTCTACGACAGTCGCAGAAGTGCGCAAGTGATTGCAGATGATCGTCCGACCGGAATAATACCAGGTGACCAAAAATCAAAAAGTAAAAAAAATTTAAGATTTGCTAAGTCCGAAATAGTTCCATTGAGACAACCACTTGCAAAGTTGTGGTTCTTGAGTTTCCTAATATTACAATATCCCATTTCCTGTTGGATGTATGAGTGATTTATACTGAGATTTCTATTGTGTTCAACTTTTAGGAATTCATTTTAGACCCATGGACGCCAGAATGAAGAGGTCTTCGCTGCTGTAGATCAAGTTAGTTATTTATTTTCATGTGATGCAAGTAATTTGTCCAATGTTTGAATGTTTTTCATTGAAAACTCATAAAATGTTTTACCATGAAAAGTAGTGTGTGATTTGAATGAATTGTTAAAAAAGAATTGATTTCTAACCGAGGTGGTGTTTAAGTTGTGTGGGGTTTTTTCGAGTTATTGATGTAGATATCGATTGTTTTCTTGTAAATCATTGTATTCACTACCATCAGAGGTTTGTCACTATTAAAGAAGTGTTGAGTTTTCAATAAAGACTTTCAATCCTCTATAGATATCAACTCTGTTCATAAGGATTTGCTTTCGACAGGTATTCCTAAAGTTCTTTTAACGTTGTTATTTATTTTTTCTACTTAAAAATCAAGATCATTTATACCATACAACTTCAATCCGTATAACAAAAGCAGATTTTTTTAAAATTTTGATTAAAATTCTTGCCTTTTATAGTTTTCTGTTCATTGATATTATGGAGGTTATGTCACTAATGGGATGGATAAAGTTCATAATAGAAATATTATCTGTTTATTGTGTTGAAGTTATATCTACTGACTACTTGCTTTATAGCTGACAAGACTTTCTAATCTCATTTGATTTTCTTTTTATTATCTTTGAAATTTTTTCTGACTGGGAGGAAATATTTTTGACATGTCAAAGAAAAGCGAAAGCAAATCCAGACAGATCCGAGGGGCCGGAAGACTGATCTACAGACCTTCGAGACTCAGGTATTTGACTTGTTCTCTTTGTTGGCTGTTGGTGGAACTAGGCTGATTTGGTACATTGGCTGATTACAGGTGGGCCAAGCGTTGAGGCGAAGAACAACTTCTCAATGTCCAGGTGACTTCTGTTTGTGTCTAGAATAGGAAATAGACATTTAAATTCAATTATAAATGTGTGTATATAGGCTTTTTAACGTTTTAATTCGATCATCTTTGTATTTCTTTTCTACATAACTGTTTCTTGTGTTTGGAAAAATAAAACCAATATTTTTACCATAGATAACTTTGGGTGTATTCCAATTGTATTTAATTTTTCTTTGAGGCAATCAGTTTTGTTCCACTGGTGGAGTGTCAATAAATTCTTCATTTGTAAAAAAACAGAGTTTTTATGTAGTGAGGAGAAAATTATGCTTTTCTTTGTTACTCTCTTAAAGTATTAACTCCCTCAATTTCATCTAATAACCATAGAAAAGAAATCAACTTTCTTATAAAGAATTCTCAGCAAATCTGTTTTTTTATCTTGAGGAGTATGTTAACTATTTAAAAATCTAAAATCTATTTAAAGACCCCATCTAAATTTCAACTACAAGTCATTTTGTTGGTTTAATTTCCAAAACTTTTGATCTTGAACCAAACGTAAACATTTATTTCTTGGTTCTCTCAGTTAATTATTAGCCTCCTGTCAGTGAAATATTCCAGTTTCTAGTTTTATGTTTAAGGGTTCTTTTCTCATTTTTAACATTTAAAATTTGATATTTAGAGAAATAGTCTTATATCCTAAGCCTATAGCTAATTTGCATTTTTTTTATTTAGAGTTGAATTATTATCTTTATTAACGATTAAAGTCAGTTAAATTGCTTTAAAAATTCACTCTAGGCCACTAACACTTTTATTATTCTTGATTTCAATTATTTTTTTTTTTTTAACTGTTAAACTCATCTGTAATAACACATGGTAGAAAAGAACCCAACACAATATGTAATAGTACAAACCTAGAATAGTTCTCTTCAAGGAAGATCCATCCATTCCGAGAGATTTAGAACTTCACATCTTGGACATCGCTCCAGTGCCTTTTAGGTAAATCCATTTAATTATGGTTATTTGTAACTTAAATTATAAGTTCCACTTACAATTGTTTCGCCTCAGGGTAGTGTCTAAATAAATCAGTGTTCATGTCTGTTTTGTTTTGTTTTAATTTATTCCTCTATCAATCAAAAATGTCACCACCAAACGCTTAAGTAGGAAAACATTACTACAGTATGGAAATAGTTATTTGTATAACTAGTGTGCAAAGTTTGCTGCACGTGAGAGAAATGTTAATGCACAAGCCGTAGGCGAGTGTAGAAAGTTTCTCGACTGCAGCAAAGGCAGTTTGCACTCGTGTTACACATTATGTTTTTCCTACAGTTACCATAATTCATATGAATAATTAGTCTTTCAAACACTGTACAACTTGTTTTTAGGTTAGGTTAAATCCAAATATTGAACGAAATGGGAAGCGCTGCACCAGCTGATCGTAGTCTTAATATCTTTAAGTGTAGGGAAAGTAAATTAAAGAAACGCTTGACATATATTTACGCTTATACTTTTACTCACAAGACAGTAAATCATTCGCCTATTGGGTCTGATGATGATTGGAATGTCCAATTGAAATCGATCACCACTTACCATCTTTTATATATATTTACCGTCTTGTGAGTAACAGTTTAAGTGTAAATCAAGAAGTTATTTATCTTTACATGTTACCAACTTATTTTCAAGCGTACACAGATTATGTGTATAATAAAAGCACACTGTTTAGTGTTGTTTGGTTGGAATACTGGTGTGCGCCAAAGTAAGACTTTCTGTACTATGATCTGTGCAAGGAAGCCCACTTTGTTGACTGTAGAAAAAGGCAATTTGCACTCAAGTTACACATTGTATTTTTCCTACAGTTATTATGAAGCATAGAAATAAAGGTTAAGTTAAATTCAAGCGTTGAACGAAACGGGAAACACTGCAACAGCTGTTTTTAGTCGAAGTAAGTGTTGCCAAATTCTTTTCAAACACTCAAGTATAACAAGCCCAATAAAAGCACGCTGTTATGTGTGTGTGTTTTTTTTTAATACTGGTGTGTTGCAAAAGTAAGTAAATGCAGCAATCAGCAACATTCTGTACTATTATCAGTGCAAGAAAGCCCACTTTGTCACGTGACTGGGAAAACTTTACACTCACAACTGATATTAGAAAGAGGTAAGAACCATAAACATCTTTTGGAAAATGTATGTATAATATAAACAAGATGTATAAAGTAATCACTTTTTGACGATCTGTATAACATCTTCGTCAGCCATTGTGTGTTGGAGACCAACTCTTTGTGGGGAGTATTTGGTGCTCGTGCCCTAAAACATCAAGCATCTCTGTAAGGGCACAGTAAAAGTAGACAGTTTGGGACACAACCGCATTGTTGAACCATAGGAAAACTGGTGACATTTCTGTGTTAAAGCAATCAATATTCAAGGAAAACTAAAATTAAACTGAGAAGTTGCAGTAAAAAAAAAAATAGGAACACTATGGAATTTATTGCAAAGTGTATCATGAACATAAAGAAATTGCACCATACATATTTGATAAGCTTACAGGTTATGAATATAGTTTGTTGAACAATAATTTATGTTACTGCCAAGTGATAAGGGTTGTATATTACTATTAAATAAATACAGTAGAACCCCGGTTAACCGAATTCTGGTGTTTCATAAGATAATAAAGGGAAGTGATACGTAATGTCAATAGATAGATAAATATAGGCTACATGGGCAAACAAATTTCTTTTGATTAAAGCAATTACCCAGGAGCTAATAATAATACTAACGAGAGGTCGTCCAGTGGTCGAAACTCGACCAAAAATATCTAATGTACTGTACTCACTTATCTATTTTACCCCACACTGTAAATAAAACATGTGATTGGAGTTTCTTCTATTTGTTTTGATTTTCTGTTTATATTTCGTTGTTATTTCGTCACCATGGCAACGCATAAGATCCATGTTAATTTTTTCAAATTTTTAAACTCATTTTTCGCGCTTATCTTTGAGCCTATTTAAATTTATAAAGGGATTCTGCACACCTAGAGGAAAATAGCTTTCTAACGGTATGCGTAGATTTTACCTACGATGCACACGAGCTGAGAAAATACCCCCGCCGCAGCAAACCTGTCGTCTAAGCGAATTTCCATTTGGCCGAATTGATTTTCAATTTCGATCTATTTAAATAACATTAGGTTTAATGAGTACCTAGGTTTGCTGCTACAAGGAAACTAATAAAGTAGTGTGTTTTAAGTAAAATATTGATAGCTTACTATAAAATAAATAAATTTGCCAAGTTTGATCAAAATATATCCATAAACAAGCAAACTACAACATTTTACAATATTCTCCATAAGAATAACATGAGAATTTTAAATTTACCATTTTTTTAGTTTTCTCCGTAACCAATAACCGTACAAAAACACTTTGATATACTGAATTGTTTGTTTTTTTAAGCTCTTTAAGAAGGTTTAGAGAAAAAATAGGAAATTTTGTGTTTTGAGGGTAAGAAGTGAGAAAAACCAATTTTTACCCCATAAAACCCTGTTCCCATGGTCCGATCATGCTGGATCGCGAACTCATTCAAGTTTATCCCGCCTTACACCTTCAAACCAAATTTTATCAAAATCGGATGAAAATTACTCAAGTTATCGTGTTCACGGACACATATATATATATATAAATCTATATATATATATATATATATATACATATATAAAAATTTGAACGAATGGTGTTTTTGGCCTCTGGGGACATAAAAATGAAAAAGTAAATCGGTCCCGGGCCTAAGTCTTACCATGAGACCTACGGTAATAGCTACTTCCCTATAGGGAAATTCGCTAAAAGGTTTTAAAGAAACATGCTTGCCTATTAATATATAGATAGATTCTGTGGATTTGATGTATGGAACGTTAAACTGTAATGTTGGGGTCTTTTACAAGAGACAAATACCTGTAGACACTGTCTTGTGATATTTACACTGAAAATTGTCCGAGTGAAAAAGTAAAACTCACCTAACTGTAGTTTACTGAGTGTAGTGTATTTTTACTGAGCAGCAATCTTACAAGTAAAAGATCGATTATACAACACTACAGATGAAAGGTCAAATGCATTATTTTGTGAAAAAATTAAGCAGCTATTCAAACAGCAAGTGAGTAATAATTAGAACTAGGCCAAGGGGTAGCTTTAATTGCAGAGCTGTTTATTTATTTCCATGACACTTTTTGTGCAAGGTTTGGAAATGTCAATTTGCAATGCACTACATGTATTTATTTATTCATTAAGTTAACTTATTTACCTGGGTACCAAATTCTTTACCAGGTGCATTTGTCTTTCATGCTGTAGGCCTAGTCATGTTTTGAGTTGTCTTCAAGGTATTTAAATTATTACATTTTGCCGGAATCTATTGTAACTCATGTTATTTAATGATGAATAAAGATTTGATTTGATTTGAAAAATACTATGCTAACAACCACACCACAAAAGACACTCCCAACCAATTACTGTACCACTATTCTCCACAAGTAGGCCTATTGAGCCAATTTCAACGTTTGGTGTGAAAAACATTGCCCTAACCTTTGATTATCACTACAATTGTTCCAATTTCTAATATTTTTAGCTTTTCACCCCGAAGAACGTAAGTTGTTCTCAGATTTTGGTGTTGCGATCTAGCCACACAAGATGCAGTCTTTTTACCTTCCCTGTCTCATAAAGCCAGGGTATTGTCTAGTAAGTGTATAATCATTGGAAACACTCACCCAGACGAGAGCGTATTTGAACTGAGCCGCAAGTGTTCGGTGTATAGAGTGGCAGACATGTTCTACCGTGACACCGCGCCGCAGGATCAATCCATCGTCAAAGTCTGGCGGCTGTCCCGGCTTCTTGGTGTACACTCGTATTAGAGCTAGCTCCTCCCATAGCGATTCCAGCAAATAGTCTAGGTTGAGCTTCATGTTGCAACTGTAAGATATTTTGTCACTTCACATCTTCAAACAAGGTTCTTTCCAGCTGGAGTGTGGCTTTTGTAAAAACAATCTTAATAGCAAAGGAAATTCATTTTTTGATATCCTACTTATAATAAAAAGAGACAACGAACCGCTGATCGGCATGTCGTGTGATCTTGAACTGGACATACCAAACAATGTTGCTACCAAACATGTGTACTCACCGTGACTGATCCAATCAATCTAGAGTTTCTGTGTGAAGTGCAACTATTTATCAGCCTGTGTTATTTGTTCAGTGTAAAATTTTATTGTTAACAAATTCTCGGATAAAATGTACTTTAAGATGTGGCCATCACCACAAATCGTAGTTAAACCCAACTCCAAAGGATATTTCAAGACGATTGAATATTTACTCAATTATTTAATACCAAAAAATACCCCTACCACAGTAAACTTGCAGACTAAGCAAATTTAATTTGGATTTTTACCGAGATACTTCTTCAAGCGTGTCAAATTCATTCCCTATTTCAAATGGGCATTAGGTTTCAATGAGTACTTAGGATTTCATGATGGAATGGCCTCTGGAGTCAGTCGCAACTTACCCTCAGCGGGCACCGTACTACCTGTTTTGTTACAGTCTGGTAAACCAGTTTAAAATGTATTGTTTTGCGTTATGTGTCGTGTTATTTATATACTATTAAACTTTTTATGAACTCCTTCCCGAGGAATATTCAATGGTTACAGTACTTGACTATCTTCAGGCCTGATGATGTGCTCCATCTGAAGCACGAAACAGCTGTAGTCATACGAGCTACATAGGATCGTTTTGGACAGTAACAAGGTGATATAAACCCCTATACAAACTGAGGATTGCTCCGAGTTATGGGGTTCAACACACAATATACCATGAGTGTGTTATATAGTATACCAGAAGGCTGTTTTATGGCCTCTGGAGACTTCAAAATTAATAAGTATATTGATCCCTGTCTAAGTTTTACTGTGTACGGTAACTTATTAGCTAAAAATTTGCTAAAAAATAAAATACATTTAACTTTTTAAAAACCTTGGAACTTCGGAATCTTGAACAAGAACACATCTTTCAGAATCAGAATCAGTTTTTTTTCCAATCGGCCTCATTACTATATCTCACCTGA